ACTCTTGCCTTTGTTCTTCTATTTTCTTATATATTTCTTCAGATTTTTTGAGCATTTCCTTCATTATTATTGTCATTTCACGTTTTGCTTGAGAGATTATTTCTGATCTAATCCCTTCTATGGCCTTATAGAGTTGTTTCTTTACTTCCATTGCAATCATTTCAGCTATTCCAGGTATGTGTTTACCAAGTTCTCTTATGTCAATGTCTCCTGGACTTGTTCTGATTGGGGTAGAGTTCTGGGATTGTGTTTTAGTCTTTTTTTTTGGCATGGTTGCTACCGGATGCAGAAAGCTCAGCTTCCCTCTTCAGTAGTTGCTCAGCCAAAACTACTAGTGTCCCTACTTCTGTTGTTCAGGTTTGCCCCTGGGTAACCTCCGAGTAGCGCTACTTAGTCTCGGGTTTTCCTGCAGTTTTTGATATTTATCTAGTTATCCCCGTTCTCAGACATGGGCACTTCTGTCATTCCATGGCCAACCGTCTGTTCCAGTGTCCCCTTGCTGTTCAGTGCACGTGTAGGACCTGACTCGGGTTGCACTGGCATGGCAATCTCGGTCTGTGGACCTATGTCCCCAGGTAATTTAGGGTACAGGCATAATTCAGACACAAACTGCAGGATCTACAGTTTGCGAACCACCTGAATCTATGTCTCTAGTCAGATCAGGATACATACAGGAACCAGATGCAGCCCAGATGGGTATCAGTCACAGACTTTCCCAGCCTTCCACTGCCTAGGGGATGTGGGCAAAGGCAAAGCTCAGAGTAGAACCGCGGGTCAGTGCCTTTTGGAGCACTCGCTCTCTCGGCACAGGGTGTGCAGGGTTGAGAGTCTGTTTACCCTGCCCACAGCCAGAGAAGACCCTGGGGCTTCTGAGTGAAAACCACCTCTCTGCCGCAGGAGCAGGGAGGCCAGGACTCCATCTGTAATGGCGGCGGGGTGCTGGTGTGCATGCTCTGCCCTCAGGGATTAGCTGGGAAATACCTGGCTCTCTCCGTGCGTTTCAGTTGGGAACTATGGCGGTGTGAGTGAGCACAGACTCGAGCCTTGAAGTCCAGCCGCTCCGGGAACACTGTCTCTCTCGGCGTAGGTCGCGCGGGGCTGAGTCCAGTTTTATTTTAGATCTTAGATGTTTGCTATGCATGAAGTTTACATTCAACTTAAGGAACATGGTTGGTCCATGTACAGGAAATGTTTGGATTCTCCGAGATTTCCCATCCCCTCCCAGCCATCGCCCTCCCTCCTTCTCTACATTTCCACCACCCATTTTATTAGAGTTTTTACTTTTATTATAATTTAAAAGAACAAATGTTTACACTCATTGTGGTTATTTGATTCAAGTATCTGGAACATCTTAAATCTTTGTATTTCCCTCAAACCCATTCTCACCCTCCATTGCCTGGACCCCTTCTCAATGGCAAAAGTCTGTGTTCCTTTTCCCTTCTGTCACTCGTTGGTTTTGCTCTTTGTGTGTACTTTGTCTTTCTCAGACCAGAGCTTCCATACAGTATTTAAACTTGTGTTTCTGCTTTATTTCAGTTGGCTTTATATTTTCTATATACACCTATTTTCCTAAAAACACTGTAAATTCATCCTTTTTGTTGCTGAGTATTATTCCATTATGTAGAGATGTCCCATTCTCTTTATCCTTTCATCCATTGATGGATATACAGGCAGCTTCTAGAATCTAGCTAATTGTGCTAATTTACTAACTGTGGTGCTCTAAACATCGGCAGGAGTGCATTGGTGCAATGTAATGTCTTTAGCTCTTTGTGCAAGATACAAAGGGAATAGCTGGGTCAAATGGAATTTCTAACTGTAGTTCTTAAGAAATCTCCATCTAGATTTTGATGTTGTTGTGCTAGTTTTCATTCCCATCAACAATGTGAAAAACATTTGTTTTTCTTTCATCTCTTGATGAATGGCATTCTTTCTGATATAAGATGGAATCTCAGCCTTGCTTTAATTTACATTTCTCTAGTGCCCAGAGATGTCGTACATTTTTTCACATGTTTCTTGTCCATTTGTAATCCTTCTTCTGAGATGTGCTTATTTATTTCATTTGCCCGTTTTTATTGGGTCTTTTATTTTAAATTCTCTAATTTTTTTGAATTTATTATATATTGTAGATATTATTCCACTACATTACAAATACTGGCAAAATAGTTTCCCATTCTTTAGGTTGTCTTTTTACTCTTGCTGTGCTAATGCTTTTTAATTTGACATAACTCTACTTTTGATTTTCACTGGTAATGTCTTGTGCAATTAGATTTTTCTTCAAAAAGTCCCTACCTACACCTATGACTTCAAGTGTTTCAACTATTTTGTCTTCCTATAAATTCACTGTTCCTATTTTAATGTTGAATTATTTGATCTGTTTTTATTTTACTTAGTACATGGTGAAAGAGATGGATCCAGCTTTGATCTCATGCATATAAATAGCCAA